TGTAACCATCTGTGTGTGGTCACCTCCACGGTGCTGCTCGTGACAGAATTCCGCCTTTCCATGGCTCCGGAGTATCCCACTGTGTGTATGCACCCACACTGGTTTCTGCGTTGATCAGTTGATTTTCACAGAGGTCAGTTCCATTTGGGGGAGCAGATATCTGGAAAAGGCCAACGTAATTGCAAGCACATATAATTTAGAACATAGATAAAATGATTGAAAAGTTCTTAATTTCTAGGAAACAGAATTGCACACTTAAGAAGGAGAGAATTTAGGGGATATTGCATAACATGAAAAAAATTAAAATACTGTGACTCTTTTGAAGAGAGCCCTTAAAATGAACTAATATCTCAGGGTTCTCTTTTACAGGTAACACAGACTTTTAAAAATGTTCTTAAAAATTGGTTTCTTCATCTTTAAATCCACATATTGCTTTTGGGATTGATCCCATTAATTGATTTGAGTAGAGCTCACCAAGAGGTAAACTTTGTCCAGAGCCAATCTGATACTAGGAAATAGGAAAGAGCATTTCCCAAGTCCTCTCTTGTCTTATGTGTTTCCTTCTACCACAGTATGTCTGCAGGTCATCCCTGCAGCATCAGACCCCAGAAAAATCATTTGGTTGCCAAAAATGTTAACTTAGAAATTCAGTTTCTGATTAGTCAAAATCTTTCTCATTTAATTTACTGTTATGCTACGGTAGCCAGGACAATGGAAAGCAAACACACAGAATTAAACTAAAAGGAATCACCTACAGTCACACTACCAATGAGCACCAATATTGTTAGCATTTCACCATGTTTCATCCAAGTCCTATTTTTATTTAAAAAATGTATCATGACTATACACTGTGATAACATTTTTTAACTAATTTCTCTACTTTTATGGCACATTTATAACATTTACCATTCATCTTAAGTAGTTTAAGTTACTACTACTTTGGGACATTTGAATTATTTTCAAATTTCCTTTCTAGACCGATATGACTACAATGAATTTCACTTACTGCGTGTTGTATATCACATACAACATAATACTGTTTCCCATAAATATTCATTTGTTTTCCTTTCTTGTCTAATTATATACCTGGAATTTAAAAGACATTCCTAAAAAGAGTTGTGATGGGGAAAAGTAACTCCCAACCTGCTGGTTGTCAGCTATGCTGAGATTTCATGTCTCCAAAATATCAAGGAACAAGTTTCTAGGATGAAGGAGGCTAAGCATAGGAAAGGCTACTGAGAGAAAGCTGAGAAACAGGGTGGAGGCCCCAAAACGGGTTTTCCTCAGTGGCTCTTTCTTCAAGAATGTTTTATAGAGCAAAATCACAAGGTGTGTACGACATGGGCCAAACTACAATCATCCGAGAGGATCACATGGCCACTTAGCTAATATTGATTCCATAGGGAAATGAGGGATGTAGCAAGGGTGTATGCTGAGCA